AACTGGCGGTCAGTTTCAGCAGCGGCTGAATCTGGATGCCAGTTCCGACTTACATACAGATTCAACTTAAGAACAAACCTACAGTCCCTATCTTGTACGTAACCCGGGGACTGCCTGTACTTGCAAGCATATGCAATGCAGCAGCCCAATAAGGCAGCCTCTGAGGCAGATACATTTTGCCCCACCCAATGGAGTGGGAAGCAGAGGTAATTTACATTTGATTCTGGGCTTATACTGAGTGCTGAAATGTGCCCCAGAACAAGTGAGAGCTATTCCTGCATGTTATAACTTGCAACAGTCTGATTGCCTATGGACTGCAGTGCCTTTATGACTCCCATGGGTTGGGGGATAGAATTTTGCCAGTATATATTTCTCTTCACAATATCAGTTTATCTACATTCATATCACTTTTCTATAAATTATTCTACTGTAAGTAATGAAGGAAGCTGTCCTGCTTCCACTGAAGCCAATTGCAAATCTCCATTGTCTTCAGGAATCCAAAATCAGTCTGTAAATCTAGGAAAATTATTCAGACCTGTATAATATTAAAACCCTTGCTATTTAATTTCATATTACCATTGCCAGCAATAATGAGTTAAAACATGCAGAAGTTGGCTTCCCTTTAGGCTAAACTACATTTAAATTAGCATACCTATAAGCAAAGTCAAATGAAATACTTGACACAAAAATCCTCTCAGGCAAAAGTGAGTATAGCCTCATAATAACATAGGCAACTAAGAAAATCCGTTTGTTCCTCATAGCTATCAAAAAGTGACCTTGTACAACAAAGAGGAACCAAGAGCAAGTTCTTTGTGGTGAATGTGTCTTTCCTCTTAATCCTAATGAGCTACTTCTATTCCAGGAAATATCAGCATGGATAAAATAGCACTCTTGTGTCAGAAGGTTCACCAAGGTCTTGTTTACCTACTTAAACAAGAGGCTGAAGATCTTTATAGAAGTGAAGTGGTATGGCACATTGATTTGCATAGCAATCTTTAGGTGTGAATGCCCATACACTGAAAATTATATTCTCCTAGTATAGTATCACTGGTGGTTTGAATTCAGACTTGCCCGAGTGTGACTCCTAGGCTTGTAAGTCTATCCTTATGTTGGGCTGCTCACTTACAAAGTTGAGACTAGAGATGTGGAAGTGTGATCATTTACAGTTAGCTGATGAGTCTGGGCTCACTGATTAACCTTCATGGTTACACACAGGCTCCCAGTCCTGCAGAGCCGACTGCTACTCCACATGTAACCGCTGATATTTTTAGTGGTTACACAGTTATTTAATTAAACACATTTTAACATCCTTAGTTGAGACTATATTACTTACAACTGTTCTAGGGTTACTTTACCTAACTTGCTTTTTATGCTACATGGGACTGTTGACTTATTGCTTACCTACCTATTGCAATGTAGGGTAAGAACCACATCTTAATGTAAAACAGTCTAGTTGTGAACCACTTCTTAATGTAAAACAGTCCAGTTGTGCCCTCTTTGTGCTTGACCCATTTTCTGCCTGCTTATTTCAAGTTATACACAAAATCTAATGTTCTGGGCACATGGACAAAATTTTATAAAACACAGTGCATAACAGTTGTCTCATGCTCCCACAGTTTGAAACAGCCCCCCTACTACACCTACCTGAATAATCATACCTCCCCAAAATCATGGGAGAACAGATGCATGAATCAATATTATCCAAAGGCATTCAAATACATGCTTTGGAGAATGAATATCAGAAGCAAATTACTAAATGGAGGACCCTTTCCTGAAACAGTTTTGATATAATTTGTAGAGAGGTCTGTAAGGTAACCAGGATCTTGCTTACTTTACAGCTTTATAAATTGAAATCCACAGCTACCAAGTGTTTGATCATCTGCTTTCTGGATTCCTACTGTGGCTACAGATTCAAAGATAGTACTTTTGCTCAATGCTCTGAATGGCTTCTAGCTAACTTCTGTGTATAGTTTACGGCTGTGGTTTCTAACCGCTGGGCTGTGGCCCACTGCCGGGCCACAGACTCTGGCTGCTAGGCTGTGGTGGCTCTGGGTGTTGGAGCTGGAGTACACCGCTCTTGTTACTGTTGGGAGAGGCGTGTCCTGCTCTGTTCCACGGTCAGAAGGAGACACTGCACCTCGCCAGCACTGGTTGGCTGAGAGGGGGGGCAGGAGAGTGCCCCAGCCCTGGGCCCCAGAGCTGCAGCTACATGGGCAGCAGTGCAGGGTTATGTGAGGGGAGCAGGGCAGATGCTGGGGACTCCAGGAGCAGGGCTAGTACTAGGGAGCTCTTGAGGCTGAGCTAGTAGTGGAGGAGGAGCTGTAGGGACAGGGCTGACACTGGGGGCTTTGGGGAGGAGGCTTATATTGGAGGCTGGCATTGGGAGAGGCTCTGTGGGGGTTGGTTTCAGTGGGGCTCTGGAAACAGGAGGCTGGTGCTAGGGGGTTTGGCGGTGTGGGGAGCTCTAAGGGTGCAGGGGGCTAGCACTGGGGGCATTGGGTGCTGGGGACTCGGGTCAGTGGCTTAGGGTTAGTGAAGGGGTGGGGGGGTTCTGGGAGTTAGAGCTGGCTTTGGAGGCTGGGCTTTTGGTGGACTTTCAACACTTTATGTACATATTTGCATAATGAATATGCAAATAAAATGTTACCAGTCCACCAAAAGTTAGTGAATGGGTTTGCCAGTCCCTGGCATCAAAAAGGTTTCCCCGCTGCGCCTCTGCTTTTTAAATGTAGTAAGAGCCACCCATGGCTCTTACTACATTTAAATGGCAGAGGCACAGTGGGGATAGTGAGCACCCCCCCTACGCCTTTATCAACTAATCGAATAGTCGATGGAAATTCTGTTATCTGCTAGATGAGCTGATTAATCAAAAGTTAGCATCCCTAATTCAGCTATGAGAGACTAAATGGGAAAAGCTTCTTCATATGCAACCATTAGGAATGTCAAGTGTTCATTGTCTGTATTTCTCCTGGTCTTGTATTCCAGCTCTTGGTAAAAATTTCAAAGTGGTATCTATTGAAGAAGATTTCCATGCATTTTAATTGTTTGATATGGAATTCAGAATGTTAGGATGACTTTGGAATCTCCCATGTTTCAAGAAAGTGTATTTCCAATGTGCAATATTTGCACATTAAGAATATGAAAACTAAGAATGACTGTAGAATGTGATAAATATTCTATGTCTATGTTTTTCCCACCCCAAGATACACATTTCCGTCTGCTTTTTTGTGATTTTTATTTTTACCAATAATCTTAAAGGTCTTAAGGGAGGGAAGTATTTATATTAACATACACTTTTGTGAAAGATTGAATTGGGATTGTTTGAAATTAGAATTTTTCTCTTGCTGTCTGCCTTATTATTTTAAGAGAATTTTTGTTGAGGGTTTTAAACCTCCAAAGTGAAAGGCATGGCACAAAATTTTAAGAAAAGTAAATGTTACGCCAACCTCTCAGATTCATGTTATTCACAGATTTAGTTTACAATCAGAAATGGGAGTAGCACTTTTATGGAAAAACACTAGATTAGCATATTTAAACATTTAAATGCTTTTCTGTCAAACAATTGAGCAGGAATAGTTTATTGGGTTAGTTTACAAACTTATTTACTTGATGTAAGGGATATTTATGTTCCATACTACTTAGAGGCATTTTACTAAAGGTTGATACTAAAGAAAAATAGAAAATTATATCTAATTCCCTATGTCTTTCAGTATTGGAGTGGAAACATTGTTTGCCTTTCTTTAGTTGCAGACTTTTAATACTCCTGGACCCTGCAAAGATGTTCAAGACTTGACAAATGGTGTTGCAATGGCACAGGTACTTCATCAAATGTAAGTTGATAGATAAGTTCAAAGAGTGTATATCACATTACTCTTGAGTTCTTTCTTAGGTTTCACACTCTTTTTCCAAAGTACCAGGTTCACAGAATAACAGTTTATCCTCCTAGAAAATGTTACACATCACAATTTGTATGATCCAGGCATTATAACTCAGGAAAAAACATGGCCTTACAATATCATTGAGTTGATACTGACTGAATATTAATCACATGGTAGAATGTGTGGTTTGCAGTTATTTCTGCACCCTCTTTCTCTGGGAGATTTTTTTGAAGTTTTTCTCTTATCCCATTGATTGTTCAGAACTAGTAAGCTATGGGAAACAGATCTATTTCAGAATATGTTTGCAGTATTGTTCTCGTTGTATTACTCCGAGGATATGAGACACAAGATGGGTGAGTTCATATCTTTTATTGGCCCAGTTTCTGTTTGTGAAAGAAACAAGCTTTTGAGTTCCACAGAGGAGTTCTTCACAACCTGACAGCTGGTCTCCTTCACCAACGGAAGTTGATCCAATAAAAGATATTAACTCACCCATCTTGTCTCTCTTATTATCGAATAGTCTAATGGAAAAATGTTCTAGAAGCATACATCTACTTTTTGGTGTGTCTTATTGTTTATAATGGGGGGAAATAATATGGGAAAAAAATAGTTATCACTGTTCTCTTTTCTGTTTGTCTTCATCAAAGGCCTTTGTTTTCTCAGTTAATTGATTGGGATAAATTATCCCTACATTCCCAATAGCAGTACTCAGGGAATTAGATGCAGATCAGAATGTTCAAGGAGTGCAAAATCATGATTAGTTTCTCTTTGACACTATTTCCAAGCACTACTTTCCTTTAGAGAAATGAACTAGAAACTCAGCCTGCATGTCTTTGTGTAGTACTGCTGTTGGATTTGCCCGAATTCTTGACCGTTATGTTTTAAGGGTAACTGGGGAGCTTTTGTAATCCAACTATTGAAGCTGTTATGGGGGAATCCCTATTTTAAAACTGGGAGGGATATTAAAAATATTTTTCTGTACTTCACCTAAGATTACAACAGTGAATTGGGATTGGTGGGGAACAGAGGAGTCCTTTTAATGTTTAGTAAATGCAGTTTATTTTTATTCTAGAGATGTGGCCTGGTTTGATGAATCATGGCTAAGCCGTATTAAAGAAGATGTTGGTGACAACTGGAGAATAAAGGTACCAAAAATGAAAACTGGCAAAAGCTATTTGAGGTTTAGAATGACGTTCCTGAGTTTAGCTAATATTACTGTGTTATAGTTTGGGATGGATCAAAAATGGCAATAATTAACACGCACATTTGAATTGTATGCAGATGACTTAAACGTGTTTTGCCATGATCCATGGTTCACATGCATTTCCTCTCTCATCTTAATTCTGTCCCACCATCATTGCATATTTTTGTCATAAAACTGCTGTGTAGACAAGTGGTGGGCAAGAGGCGCTAACAGGTTGCATCCAGCCAGTCAAGCTACCGGATCCGACCTGTGGCTGCCTAGTTGGGACCCTTAGGCACAGTGCATCTGCAAGTGCTTTAAATGTGGCTGCTCTACTAAGGGAGGCTTTGTGCTCTGTCCTATCTTCCAGCAAAATCTGTCAGCTCCCTCCCATTGGCCAGTTTCTGGCTAATGGGAGCTGAGAAATTTTACTGGAGGCAGGGGCAGCCAATGAGGCCTTCTCCCTCACCCCATTCTGCCTGGAGCAGAGCCACATGGAGCAGCTTGCAACTGCAGCTCAGGTTCCTGCAGGGCTGCTGGTTGAGAGGCATCTAGGTAAGCGCCTGCCAGAAGAACCAGCCTCTGCCCCCACTCTCTCCTTTCTTCCTCCCCTCCTCCCAACTACTGGCTCCAGGTGAGCAACCAAACCCTCTGTACCCGTTTCTCACTGTCACAACTCCATCCCAGACCCTGCAGGCCCTCCTTCATCCCTCACCAGGCCAGAATCCTTTCCTGCACCCAAACTCCCTTCCTGACCCCATTCCCCAAGTCACAACCCATCTTTCACCTGAACTCCCTCTCAGACTCCACACACGCCCTCCTGCACCACAGTTCCCTACTCCAAGTTTCCTCCTTCACCCAATCTCTGTCCCAGATCCCACACCCCCTCAGTAGAAATGTGGTCCTTTACTACTTGCCAAAATCTTGGAGTGGCCCCCCATTAAAATTGATTGCCCACCCCCAGTGTAGATTTTTTAAATTAAGAATAATATGACATTGTGTTAAATTTTGCTTTTTTAATCTGAGAAAAATATCACTTAGTAGTATATAATCAATGTTGTCTTTTATACACCGTTAGGCCAGTAATCTGAAAAAGGTTCTTCAAGGAATTATGGATTACTATCATGAGGTATGGAAAAAATGTCAGTTTGTTGTTTTATTCAAATAACAAATAAGGATTGGTCTTTTTTTACTAAAGCTGATCAGACACTAGAAAAATACTAAACTGTTTGTATAATGATACTCTTTTTGTGAAATGTGTTATAAATGTTACCCATCTGGTATAAATAAAATGTATCTCGGTATAAATAAAAATGGACAGCTCTGGGGGCTGGGGTCAAGGAACACTGCCTAGTGTCTCCCCTCCCACTGTGGCTGTTGGAAGTAGCATGTCCTGCCCTGTCTCTTAGCCAACCAGTGCCGGGCAGAAGGTTTGCTGTGCAGCGGGAGGGCTGCACAGAGCCCACACTACAGTCTTAAAGTAGCTGCGATTCGGGCAGCAGTGCTCAGCTGGAGACTAAGTTGGGGGGGGGGGAGCAAAGCAGGTGCTGAGGGCTCCAGGAGCGGGGCTAGTGCTGAGGAGCTCTCCAGGTGGGGAGATTCTAAGGGGGTGAGGGGCTGGCACTTGAGGGAGACTCTGGAAATGGAGCTAATATTGGAAACTGGGAGCTGGCACTGGAAAGGGCTCTAGAGGGGTTGGGTGTGGTGGGACACTGGAAACAGGAGCTGGCACTGGGAGGGTCTGGTGGTGGGGGGTTCTAAGGGATGGGGGGTTGGCACTGAAGCGTTGAGGATGAGGGACTGACACTGGAGGTCTCTGAGGGCAGGAGACTGGCACTGGGGGGTTGGTGCAGGGGACTCTGCGGTCAGTGGCGGGATTCTAGGGCTTAGCGCTGGCACTAGGGGGCTCTGGGACCGGGGTGTGCCCTAGCCCCCAGAGCTGCCACAAACAGCCAACTTCAGCTGCAGCAGCTGCCCACCTCATGGCAAATGCTGGAGTTGAAGCTGGTTGTTCTCAGCAGCTATGGGCACTGGGGCTTTTGGTGGACTGGTAACATTTTATTTGCATTCATTATTTGTATAATGTATATGTAAATAAATGTTACCCATCTGCCAAAAGTTTGTGAATGGATTTTCTAGTTCGTGGTATAAAAGAGGTCGGGAACCACTGGTTTAGTCTATTATGTTCTGGTAAACTTTCAGGGAAAGGGCAAAAAACTTGAATACATTGATCAGATACTTAAATGCACGTGCAGATTTTGACAATAACAACTTGATCATAGTAAATATTCTGATACATTGTAGGGATGTTAAATAGTGGGTAAGAAGCTAATCAAGTAGTCGATGGAATTTCCTTCGACTACTTGATTAGTCGATAAGGGGGTTCTCTTTGGCTTTGCTTTTTAAATGTGGTAAGAGCCCGGCAGCTCTTGTTAACTTTTAAAAGCAGACCTGCAGCATCTGTGACCCAGAGAGAGCAGGGACTGCTCAGTCCCAGCTTGCACTGTTTCCCCCATTGCGCTTCTGCCTCCCCAGCTAAGGGAAACTGTTTTTTAAGCAGGCTCCCCACAGCACCTGCTCCTGCTACAGAAGCAGCAAGGGTTGGGAAGTGACTAGTCGAGTAGTGACTCGATTACTCGATGAGCAAAGGCTTATTGGGTAATCGACTAGTCGTTTACATCCCTAATACATTTTGTTAAGAAAAGGATACCAAATGTCAACTGTTAGTACAATATCCAACTTTGAGCCCTGAATTGCTATAACGTGAGACAGTGTAAAGTTAGGATTCCCAAAATAATCCTAATTTTGCCCACCTGAAGACTTTTTTTAAACAAAAAGGTATTTCATTCTGTGATTCCATGCAGCATAACCACCTTTCTTTTCACAAATGATGTATAATAACAAAAACAGACTACTTTTTATGTCCTCTTCCTCAGAGGCTACGTCTAAACTACACCTCTCTGTCAGTAGAGGGGTGTAAATTAGATATATCGGAAGTGCAAATGAAGCTGGGATTTAAATATCCCGTATGTCATTTGCATAATGGCAGTCGCCACTTTTTTCAAAACGGGGCTTTTAAAAAAACCCGGCAGCTTAGACTGGGCACTTTCAACAGAAATGACCCATTTTGAAAGATCGTGTACACCTCATTTTTTGGAGTACAGGATCTTTCAAAATGGGGTATTTCTGTTGAAAATGCCTGGTCTAAACTACTGTTTTTTTTTTGTTTTTTTCGAAAAGCCCCGTTTTGAAAAAAGTGGCGGCTGTCATTATGCAAATGAAGTACGGAATATTTAAATCCCGGCTTCATTTGCACTTTTGATATATCTAATTTACATCCCTCTGCCAACAGAGGGGTGTAGTTTAGATGTACCTTAAGATAATAAATTGTTTATTAAAACACAGAAAAGGTACTTTGTATTATTGTACACCTGTTTCTGCAACGTGTCACTAGTGATCATATAATACTTATGTGCAAGGGGCTGAGCAAGTAAAAAAATCCTGAATTTTTTACACTTAGTGCATTGCTATTGCATATTCATTTTAAGGAACCTGTCACTGTAGTATCTTGGTGTAATGTAGGCCTTTTTATATTAATGTATAGTATGACACATTATTTCATTGTGTGTGTTGCCTGCAAGTGCTCCTTTAAAGCTTTACATCCCTCTAAATATTTTGTTTTCCCTAGTCCTTTTCAAATTTCTTATTTTTCTTTATAGTCTCATTTCTTTAATTCATTAGTGCAGTGGTTCTAAACTTGTTTCAGTCCACGAACCACCAGGCCAATCAAAAAATTTTTGTGGACCACCTCCAGCACATGTAGCACAGGACAAACGACATGGCAACCGCTCAACACAACAGCAGCAGCTACACTAACGCTTAGAGCCTCAGATGGAAGTTACTGGCAACACAGTGCGGTTGTGTCCTAGGTGATGCTATGGATGATGCACCACGTGCTTGTGAAAATGGTGTAAAACAGCCTAACGGCAGCGCCTGCTCACACCATGTGACTTAGAATAATGGTCCTGAAAAAGTCACCATGGACCACCAGTTAAGAACCACAGCATTAGTGCTACCTGAGTGTGTTACTATTAATGAAAAGACTGGATGATAGACTAGCTAGTTTGTATGTGTATAGTAAGCCAAAGTAGCGTCCAGGGCCTTTCGTCATCTGTCTCGGGTTTACTGTAGTAATATCTTCAGTTTTCGTTCAGTCTGTGTTTCCTAGTCCAGATCTTTTTACATGCAGGGTGAACATGTATATTATCTTCATGACATTTCATAAAATTGAAATGCCAAACTTTTGTATTTTGCAGTTTTTGGGTCAGCAGATTTCAGAGGACCTTCTACCAGACTTAAATCAGATATCTGAACATTCAGATACTACAGAGCTGGGCAGGTTACTGCAGCTTATTTTAGGTTGTGCAGTCAACTGTGAAAAGAAACAAGGTATGTGCTATTTTCACCTGTTGAAAATATATCTAGGAACAACTGACGTCCTTAGGCAGCCCTTACTGTAGGAAATAGCAAAACGCATATAGAATAAGGTAGCATTGATGCCACATTTAAAAATACTTTCTGTTCCTGAATGAAACGTACATGTTTGCACCTTTCTACTAATGTGTTGTACAATATTATCATAAACTATTTAAAATTGGGTTTTGTAAAAATAGATGTCTATAAAATCATGACTGGTGTGAGGAAAGGAGACAAGAAAACGTTATTTACTCCTTCTCATATCACAAAAATAGGGGTCACCAAATGAAATGAATAGGCAGTAGGTTTAAAACAAACAAAAGGAAGTATTTTTTTTTTTCATGCACAAGTATGTTTTTCATAGTCATCCTGTGGAGCTTTTTGCCAGAGGATGTTGCGAAGGCCAAGACTATAATAGGGTTAAAAAAGGAACTAAAGTTCATGGAGGATAGGTTCATCAATGCCTATTTGCCAGGATGTGCAGGGTTGGTTTCCCTAGCCTCAGTTAGCTAAAAACTAGGAATGGGTGACATGGTATGAATCACCTGATGATTCCTTGTTCTGTACATTCCCTCTGGGGCACTTGTCATTGCCCACTGTTGGAAGACAGGATACTGGTCTAGATGGACCTTTGGTCTGAGGCCATTCTTATGTTCTCAATAATAACTTTGAGAACCTGTATGCAGACATACTTTCTAGACTGGCTACACTTTTTTGTTTTGTTTGTTTCTTTGGTTTTTAAAGGTAGACTGGAAAGTGGCTTTTATTTGATTTATTATGTATATTATTTAAAATCCCAGCTGGATAACAAACTGTGTCCAGTACAATTTACAAATGGATACACTTTAAAACTGATATATATGAGTTGTCTTTAACTATCTGTAAAGGGTAAAATTTAAGATTATTGCTTTTTGTTTGTTTAATGCCCACACAAGCCCATAATAGTGCAAAAAAACCACTTCAATTATTCTATTAAAAAAAGTCATGTAACTAACATCTTTTGCATCAGTGAGTATTTAGGAAACTAGATGATATCATCAAGCATTGAACATTAAAACATTTGTGATGACACTTGATGTACCACACTTTATGTGCTATCTCAGTGACAAGTTTTTCTCCACCAAAAAATTTGAAAACTAAAATAAACCAAGTGAAGTTAACATAATAGGATAAAGTGTAAACTTGCAAAGCTTTGAAAGTGTAGCTTTGTTAAAGGCTTTTCACTCCTTTGTAAATACTGTACATTTTAGAAGTCCCTTCTGGAAACCATGTGTTAAATTCTTTTAATGTGTTGGCAAACTTACAACATGTATACAATAATGAAAAGCCTTAGTTTGAATTTTTGTCTTTTTTGAGTTCAAACAAAGCCTTTGTGTCTTAAATTGTAGTTTAATTTTGTATTGTGCAATGCTGTAAATAGAAATTACTGCTTTTGTTATGCATAACAAAGCTGTAATCTGTGCTATTTGCGTTTGTGGAAAAGATTTGCATTGTGAAGATTTAGATCTGGTCATTCTTGTTTGCTAAGTTTAGCAATTTAAAACATTTTGGGTTAATATTCTAGTCCTAGGACTTTACTTCAAAAGACCAAATTCTCTCTGAACCATATGCCTACCTCAGAAGGAAAAAATTGTTCTCAAGCATCTAATTTTCATATGATATAACCCATTGAAATTATGTGAGTAAATGTATGAGAGAATTTGGCCTACGTATATAGGGCATTAATCCATATTTACTTATATGTCAGCATCTCTGAAACTATAAGAGCAGTAACTTTTTGGAAATGATTTGTTCTAGAGCTGTCACGTTCTTTAGTATAAATTGATATCTGCTTTGTGGAAAGGGCAGAACGTATGCCACTTCAAACCATTTTACAGTAAATGTCGTAATTACTGCAAATATTTTTCCTTATTACAGAACATATACAAAATATAATGACTCTAGAAGAATCTGTTCAACATGTTGTTATGGCTGCTATTCAAGAGGTAAGTAGTAATAATTTATGTATACATAGCCCAAAACTTTCAACAGGAAAGCTTGAATATAAATATGTAGAGCGGACCTTTATGCCTGCCGCTCTTTCCTCTTCAGCTGTTTTGCACTGATCAGCCAACAAAAAGAAACTAGAAAGCTTCCTTGAAGGCAGTTGAGCATTCCCCTTGTGTGTTTTAAATACCTCTGTGCTATTTGGTCTCAAATCAGTTCTTGTGCTAGAGCACACTCTTTATTCTGAGGATCCTCCCTTGAAAGTTGGCCCTTAGGAGGCTGTTAAAAACAGGTACAGTAAAACTCCAGTGGTCCGGCACTCCTGACCAGCGGCTGACTCAGGAAAGCCGGGGGCAGAGCAGCTGGGGAGCTGCCAGGTTGGTCCTGTAGCGCCGCCCTTGGTGCTGTGGGACCAACTCGGCAGCACCCCAACTACTCTGCCCCAGACTTTCTAAATCAGCCGCTGCTGAAACTGACCAGCGGCTGACTCTGGGTTCGTCCGGCAGCGGCAAGGGGCGCATCCCCCCCACTCCACCCCATACCCCTCATAGTCCCCCCCCTTCCAATGGTCCAGCATATTTGATAATCCGGCACCCCCTGGGTCCTAAAGGTGCTGGATTATCGGAAGTTTATATAAGTTAGGGGAGCCCTTAAGCACAGGACTAGCTCTTCTGGACTCCTTTTTCACATGAGACCTTACCTACCAGTTCTCTGAGTTAGTTAAAGTCTGCTTTTTTTGAAGCCTGTTTCACTTGAAGTCTCTTCTAACCCCTGTCTTGCACTGAAAATATATCCAGTAATATAACCTAATTGCTGGATTATCGGAAGTTTATATAAGTTAGGGGAGCCCTTAAGCACAGGACTAGCTCTTCTGGACTCCTTTTTCACATGAGACCTTACCTACCAGTTCTCTGAGTTAGTTAAAGTCTGCTTTTTTTGAAGCCTGTTTCACTTGAAGTCTCTTCTAACCCCTGTCTTGCACTGAAAATATATCCAGTAATATAACCTAATACAGTGGCGCGCCCGCCGACAACCTGGGCTGGTCCCGGCCTCAGCGCACGGGAGGCGCCGGCCCCAGGCACACAACACGCACCGGCCCCGGGCCCACGGCACAAGGCGCTCGGGCGGCCCCGGGGCACATGCCGGCGCCGGGTGCAAGGGTATCCCCGCCCCTGCTGTGCCCTAGGACGCGCGGCCCCGCCCCCCGGACGCCCAGCACGTGAGTGGCCCCGCCCCCAGGTGCCTGGGAGCCTCTGTAGGTTGGGGAGCACTGACCTAATGCAACTTTTGTTTTAATGGTTAAGAAACCAGTTGTGTTTGAGTACTAAAGTTTCATGTGTAAATACAATTCTGCCAATCAGAATTTTATTTGCCACATAATTAATGTTGATTAAACTCACTGGGTAGACTTCTATGCCCATTGAAATTGATGAGAGTTTTGCCTTTGATTTCATTTGGGCCAAAATTTAATCCATAAAGTTATTACGCCTGTTTTGTTAAGAGTTCTATGTCTAACTACCGTAGCTCTTCAATTAACAGTTAAGTGTAACAGTCATACTCAAATACTAACTGTCACAGTTTCAGGGAAACAGCATCTATTTTCCCCTTCCATGGTCCACCAAGAGCACCCACGCTAGGCTCCTAGCCACTGCCTCTCTTGTGTGAAGTCCTGCATTTCACTGTCTCTTGATTGGCAGTTCTTTTGGATTTCACGGTTCCTTGCCAATACTGTTCTTCCAGCTAGAGAGAGGATCTAAAATTCAGTGCCTGCACTTTGCTTTTGTTTCCAAAAGCTATGACCAGTACATGATTTTCAATCATAAGTTACCAGACAGCAAGCACACTTATTCTTCATGTGAAACTATTACAGAGAAAATATATCTAACAATAAAAGAACTTTCATGCATGCTAAAAAGTTTGCCAGTGGAAACTTCCAACTCCAGTCTCAAGCTCTGATAGATTTCAGTCCTTTAAAAACCACAACTGTGTTTTCTCTGTGGTTACAAATTCATAGCTGTGTCAGATTCAGAACCTTGACTGTGCAGTTTATTGTTTCTTACTATACTTTGAGCCTTTCATCTCCTACTTCTGGGAACAGATAGTCAGCAGACATGGCCCACTCTTTAGGCGTAGTTTCAGAAGGCTGAGGTTTTGCATGAAGGGGGGAATGTGCATTAATCTCTCCCTAGGTATTTCCCAGGAAGTGATTTCCTTTCTCAAAAGTCCATTTTTGTCTGGCATATTTTCAGTGCAATTCTTTGAACTCCCAGGCTTCACATCATATTTCTCTCCCCCTACAAAAGCTATGAGAAGTTCTGGCTCACAATAAGATGCAAACCTTTCACTTAATAAAATGGACATCAAAGATACCTAGCCTTAATTCAATATGGTTTCCCAAAGATATGCAGGAAACTGCTGTTTCTATCACATTAACAACTACTGAAGTTAAATGGGGGAGAGATGGAATCCAATTTTTTATTCAGTAACAGAAGTCACTAGTTCTATAGTATCTGTGTTTGTGTTGTTTTAATCTGTGGCAATTTTGCGTTTTAGCTCATGAGCAAAGAAATACTGAGTTCTGTCACATCTGATACAGCTGGTGAAATGGAGCAACAGGTAATTTCCTAGTGTGTTATAATACTCAAAACAATGTTAAGATTTTCAAAAAATGATTCACATGCCATGCTTGCAGATTCAAAGAGTAGACACAAAGGTGCCTCTCCCATCATCTCCAACAAAAGAAGTTTCAGTCCTTCATCCATACAAACTAACTTGCTTCTTGCTTTATACAGCCAGTGGTTGCTTCCCACAGACCAGCTTACAGAAATCCGTGCTCGGACTTATCTGTCACAAAGGGCAGAGCAACGTGCTGATACTAAACCACGACATTAAAGTAAATTTAACTCTTATCTTTCATTTTCTCCTATAGTGCTAGAGATAGGTGAATAGCTGAGTAAAACAGTGTAAAAAAGCTTAGCTTTTTTTAAAAAAAGATGTGAAATGGCTGCTATCTCTATTGCCTGAGTAGAGACTGCAAGAGGATATGACAAGAAGAGCAAAGTGTACGGCTATCAACCTTGAAAGTTCAGACGTACTGATGAGTGCATACTAGCCAAGTGATCTTGGAAAATATTTGAGTTCTTTGTGACACCTAACACCCAGAGTAATGTACTTGGAGTAGAAAATATTTTAAAAGCACTCTACCCCAAGAAAGATTCTTCCCTTGTAATGACCTTCATCTCCCTATTGCCACAAGAGGAAGGATGTTTAATGGCTTGAGTGTTATCTTTTATGCCGAAGTCTCAGATTAATTGCTTTGTCATGCTACATATTCTTTGTGATATTACTCAAGTCCCTTAAAGTATGTCTACACTAATTGTTTGGCTTTTTGTTTTTTTGCAAATGCCCCTGTGGCAACAGGTCTCAGAACCTGGTTTCACAGTTTGTCTGGTTTTGCAGCATATATGTTCTAGGGATGTAAATGACTAGTTGAGTATGTGACTAGTTGACTAGTCCCTCAGTCATTCTCCCCACCCACCCTTGCTGCCTCTAATAGAGGCAGCAAGGCAGGGGAGCAAGAGCCAGTGCTGGGGGGAACTGGCTTAAAAGCCAGTTTCTGCCAGCACCCTCTGTGGGAGGCAGGGCTAGCAGGGACTGAGCGTGAGCCAGGAATCAACTGATTCCCGACACACACCAAGTCCCAGACACTGCCTCTGCTTTTTGAAGCCACTAGGCTCTTAATACATTTAAAAGGCAGAGCTGCAATGGAGTTCATTGCAGCTCTTCTACTTATTGACTAATCAATGGAAAATTCGACTAGTTGATTAAACTAAATTTAACATCCCTAATATGTTCCTTTAGTCTCTGTCGTATCTATCATATGTCATTCCTTGTACAAATGGGGAATATATAAGTAATCTAAATTTCACTATATCTAACTAGCATTAAATCTATCTTTTTTTAAAGATGAAAAAAGCCCTGGAAGACCTTCAGGAAGCACTTGCAGAAAAAGAAGAACTGAAGCAAAGATGTCAAGAATTAGACTTGCAGGTCAGATACACAAACTTAATTTTTCAAATATGTGACATGCAGAAGTAGAAACATAGAAACTCTGTTAAACATTTGCAAAATCAAAAGTCTTTAGTGGTTACATTTCATCTAGTAGTTCTTAGCCTTATCAGTTTATATTGAAACAAAGCTTACACATATTGAAGTGCTTCATACATGTGATTGTTAGAAAACTATTCTTTAATGTAAATCATGTTCAATTCTCCTACAATTACTGAAAATATACTGCTTGTTCATAGTACGAAAGATTTGGAGTAATTACTTGAAATCTTGCAGTTATAAGCAGTCGTTGCAAAATTATAGCTATGAAAAGTCATGGAAGTCAGAGATACCAGAAGACTGGAAAAGTGCAAATATGGTGCCCATCTATAAAAAGGGAAATGAGAACAAGTCAAGAAACTACAGACCAGTCAGTTTAACTGTCAAACCAATCAGCTTTTTTTTGATAGGATATCGATCCTTTTGGATGCATGTGACGAAGTGGGTCTTTGCCCACGAAAGCTTATGCTCCAACACTTTGGTTAATCTATAAGATACCACAGGACTCCTCAGCACTTTTATAGAATGGGATGTGATTGTTTAGGAAGGAGTACTGCAGAAAGGGATCTAGGGGTCACAGTGGACTACAAGCTAAATAATGGGTCAACAGTGTAACACTGTTGCAAAAAAAAAAAAAAAAAACATGATTCTCTTGATCCACTTGCTTGTCCAGACGTATTGAAGTAAATGTTTTCTTATAATTGTAACCACTGTAAATATATGATGATGCTGAATTTACCAAATATCAAGGCTAAAGAAAGATTTTACCATGTAACTTTATGCCAGCCATTTATGCCTGTCCAAAATTGCCCTTTCTGGTTTTGCTATGGCACCTCTCGTGCCTAATTCTGAGAAATCAGAACTATAGGTTTAACTTAACATGGATATTGCTGTACCAAAGAATCTCGGCTGGGCCAGTTCAGAAGCGCAGCCTGGACTAGGCCGGCATAGTGGGGAGCACAACCTCGGTCAGAGCTGGCGGTGAGGAGCGCAGCCTCAGTCTGGGTTGGAGGCACCAGAGCCGCTGGCTAGGAATGCAGCCTCAGTCGGGGCTGGCACGGTGGGAAGCACAGACTCTGCTAGGACTGGAGGCAGTGAGACCAGCAGCGAGGAGCGAGCATCGCAAACCTGGGGCTGGCGTCAGCAGGGCTGGCAGCTGGGCATGTAGCCCAGTCCTGGCCAGGGATGGAGGCAATGGGGCTGGCCTCTGCCTGGGGCTGGTGCGGTGGGGGGATGCAGCCCTGGCCAGGGCGGGCATGGTAGGTGGCAGGGAGCGCAGGCCCAGCCAGGAGCACAGCCTACAGCTAGGTAGGGAGTCTTCACCTTCCCTGGTACGGCAAATTCTATGATTCGGGACCAATTTGGTCCTGAGGGTACTGGATCAGGGAGGTCCGAACTGTACCACACAGACCTTATAGACTTCTGTTTGGGGCAGTTAACTTTATGGTCGTTCCCATAAATCTGGTTGGTCTGCTCTTGCATGTCATGAGAAGGAGCTGTTGTTAAAAGTACAGTGAGAGCTCTGTTATCTAGCACTCAGTTAACCAGAAAGGTCAACTAGCTGGTATTTCTAATACCTTGCAACACAAGTCTTCAGTCTACTAACCGGAGCTAGTATACTGCCCAGAACATTATGCAATTACATATTCTGCACTGTTATATGGAAGAGGCAGAAGACAAGTGAGCAAACTGAGATCAGGGATTTATTCAAAAAAGCAGTGTCCAGGGCTGTCATAGGGTCAGGTCACTACAATCTGCTCAATCTTCTACACATTCTACCTCTGCAATGATAATTTTTGTTGATGATGATGATGATGACCCTGAGGTATTGCAAGATCCTGAAGTGCTTTCTGAATAGTTTAAGATTAAATTATATTCAGTATAGTTTTAGTGTTGAGTGTATTTTTACTGATCTGGGTATATGCCATGTGCTGCCCATAGTGGCATGTGGTGTCATAAGAGAATGTACTATATAGAAACTTTACCTGTGAAACCAGCCACTCTGCAGAACACAACTACTACTGGATTGGTGAGTACCTATATACTGTTTTATACTTCATTTATTTTATTGTATTCTAATTTTTTGAAAATTTGGTGTTCTATGGGTAAATAATAACTCATTCAACCAGAATATTTATTAACTGTGCCCCCATTTCCTCAACTTGCTGAATAACTGAGCTTTTATATTATGTACAGTTGAGTATGAATGTACAAATGGTAACTGAAGTTAATGGAAAGTATATTTTGTAAAATGTGTGTCCATATATTTGAAGTTACACAATACATAATTGTTGATTTCCTCATCCAGTGGTGCACCATGGTTTCAGTATAATGTGTTTGGCTGTCACCTGCTTCATTTCAACACCAATGTGACTTCAGGGACTTGAAAGGAGGGCGAAGGATGAGAGTCAGATGTTCAGTTAATAAACATCCTGTTTTCTGAAACTGTGTAATTTAGAACTGATTAGGCCTTGCACAGGGAGACACATAAGGCAGTGATGTTCTCACGGTCTGAAAATATAAGTAAACTGGTTTCCCAGAGATTCAGAGCATAGGACCTTAGGGGCAGTAAATACTCAGTGAAGTGTGGTGAGAGGGTGCTGTTGGTTTATTTTACATCTCTTTGATTATAGGCACTGATATTACTATATAATCACAGATTAAAAAAATATTTTACTATTGCACCAATAAGATTATTGTTAACTTTATATCTTATTAAATATTGCAACCATGATATGCTGCACATGTATTGAAAGTCATAATAATGACTGATAGTTCTAATTTAAACTAATTCTTAATAAATTCACTTGTAAGGTCTCAGTCTTCCTTGATATTTTCCGAGAGTATAAGAAAGGTAGGTTTCCTTTATGATTCAGGAAAACATAACCCAAAGAGCACATTCTACTGTCTACGTGCCAATTAACTAACACATGCTATGTGCTCTGATGTCTGAAGTATTAAAATTAACACATCTTTCGCTAGAAAGAGCTTAAGGGTTCCATCCTTTTAATCCTTGCCCATTTTATGGCTGTGGAGTATACTTACCAACTTAGTGTAATGTTGTGTTCCCACTTGCTTAGCTGTGAACACTCTAAAAATCAAACTATTTAGTCACTGAAAAATGCATGTCCTATTTGATGCTGTCTAGGTTTTTGTGTGTGCGCTTATTAGCTTATGGCTCTTGGACCTGCTTTTTGCACAATCATCCATGGCTGAATGCACGGCAGTGCAGTGTGAGTGTGCTAGCCAGTGTCATTCTGCTTTTTATTGTTAGCGCACAAGCCAAATGGGGAGTATCTTCATCCTACTACTATTGTTTCTGTTTAGTTTCTATGAATATCATTTTATTGAACTAATTGTAACATTTGTTTCCCTTTGTTCATAAAATGTGGAAATAGCATTTGCCCCTCTGCATTTATTACTTTGTTGAGTCCTCTAAAAGATAGCTTTAATTTACAAAACATTTCATACTCTAAAGCAACTAGGTGCTTATGGGTAGTCTATAAATCACTTCCTACATTTTTCAAATACTCAATTTTTATGTAATAAACACATTATTTGGTAGCATCTTATCTATTATCTTGGGATTTTCATGGTCATTGGATAGGATCTATACATTTAATGTTGTGTTATGTACACTAGGTGGCTGCCCTTCAAGATGAAAAGAACAGCTTGATGTCTGAAAATGAGGTCATGAATGACAGATTAGACCAGTTAGATGGATCTCTTGATGATCCAAATAGTGTTGTTACAAAAAAATATTTCCATGCACAGCTTCAGTTAGAACAACTGCAGGAAGAGAACTTCAGGTATGAAATAACTTGTAGCTTTATTTAATTCTCCTTCAAAATGTCATGTGATTGGAGTTTATTCTAAATAGGTAGGATTTTCCTTCTAAGTTCACTTTTCTATTGACTGTTCTAAAAGCTTCTTCCTGTCATTGAATTAATATAAACTATAGTTTTAAACTTAGATTTTTCCCCAAACTACTTTCGTTTTGAATGATCACTGAGACCATTTATGCTTTCTTGCTATCATTTTCTAAAATATTGTGGGCTCTGAGAGAGAGGGGGAATGGGATGGGGAGAGAGGACCAAAGATAAAAAACAAATGACATGTTTCCTGTGGTGATTTGTACCAAAAAATATCTGTCTGTGATTGACACTTCCTTTTACAGCAGTTGTAAGTGAATCAGACACTCCTTCATGTAAAATATTAACACAGTAAACTAACAGCTCTGTTCATACCATATGGCACATTTGTGGTAAATAGCCCTTGTGACAATTCTTTAGTTATTTTTTACAGGCTTTAAATACCTTTTTTATTCTGTCTGTTACATTTATGTATTCTGAATTTGTTATTGTTTCAATAGAAGGTGGATCATATTAGTTATGTGAACAAAAGATAGAAAGGAAAATATATTTTAACAGCTTCTTGTTTACAAAAGGCTTGAAGCTGCAAAGGATGATTATCGTGTTCACTGTGAAGATCTGGAGAAACAACTGATTGAGCTGCAACATAGAAATGATGAGTTAACCTGTTTGGCAGAGGAATCCAGGGCCCTAAAAGATGAAATTGACGTTCTTAGGTATGTAGTAGACCTAGTAGATACTCAGACTGAAGGTTCTAAATGATAATGCCAAGGCTCTAGTGAAAAATAAAAGTGGAGGGTGACATGTGAGTTCATGGCAACAGTAATTATTCTACTTATCAACATTATTCTGCAAAAAAAACCTTCCACATGAAGCAGGACTAAGAGAAGCTTTTTGCTCCCGGTATAAAAAAACAAAATACCCCAGGAAATGAGTGTTGCAATCATGATGGATTTTATTACTAACAGGATATGTTTATTGGCAAAGGCCCACCTCTTCTAATACAGGAAAATATTTAATTGTCCAAATGTAAGTCTCAAATCAAGTGAAAATGAAACTTAATTATCTGCATGAGTGTTTTAGCTAGACTGTATGTTCAGGATTACGAAACTAAGTAGGACCAAAACATGATGAAAACTAATCCTATTGAGTGCATTTCAACATATGTCAGTTAAACTGGTTATTTAAAAGTACAAAAAATAAATACAGTATTTTCCTATCGTCTTTCTATAAATATGCCCATGTAAATAACTTTGCCTGTTATACGCAATTTAATAAAAAATAAAATGTATTCCAATCTTGTATTACATCAAGGTTCATAGAAGAGCATTAAGTATAAGAAACTGAATATTGGAATTATTCCTATGATAACTTTTAATTTTCGAAGATGCCAGACAGTAAAGTGACTCAACATTTAGTTTAAAGATTTATTAATAATAGTTTTATATCAGTGAAATGAAGGTCCATTTCTGTATCAAAATACCTTGATATTATTTGGCCAGAACACTTTCTGATCAATTTGTCTTCCTTGGCCATGCCTCCTGGCAAAAATACCCTTAGGATAATAATCTGCAAGCATATCTACATAGTATTGTACTGTAGCTTTGTATCTATTCCGGCTAGATAGCAGCATGAGTATTTTGCAGGCTTACTCAGCTTCAAGATCAATATCTAGGCCAGGGCATAGTTCATTTGTATTAACTCCAACACCATCATGAATCCATGGGGTCACTTAATATACTAGACATATGTAAACACACACTTTTGTGGAACTGCACCTCTACAATGTCTACTTTTAAAACTAAATATTGCACATGAATCTATATCAACCCAACAACTAAAAGAATTAAATTATTGTTTTAATTTTAAACAGACGTAACACTAGTCTTGGTTACACGCATGCATTTCCCTGTCTAAGCTAAATGGAGCTATGCTTGCAGATGAGGGCAGAACTTGTTAATTTGTTTGGTTGTAGTTAGTGTGAAAACTACATCTTACTGTTTCCATAATTTCTATTTGTGTCCTTGTAGAACTTTTGCAGATAAGGCAAATAAACTAGAGTCAACAGTTGAAGTATATCGTAAAAAACTGGAAGACTTGAATGACTTCCGCCGACAGGTGAAATCTCTGCAAGACACAAACATGATGTATATGCACAATACGGTCAGCCTAGAGGAAGAACTAAAGAAGGCAAATGCAGCACGTGCTCAGCTGGAAACATACAAAAGGCAGGTAAGGCAAAAACAGTACTCGGTATCTTAACTCTTCTCAGGTGTAATTTTATTAACTATAATCACAGTTGACTGGAAAAAAAATGGGAGCTTGATCTAATGGTTATTGGGACTAGTGTCAAGATAGCTTGTAAGGAAACTTTCAGCTCTGCCTGCCTGCCTTCTCTTCCAAACTCTCACCAGATGGCTTAACTGAGCTCATTTTTGACCTGCAGTTCAGGGCACACTGTGTAACGCATCAGTTCACTGAGTTGAGTGGTGATCAAGTATTTTGTTTTTGTTTCATGTGTAGCTAACATCCTCAAGGTATGCTATACTGTCATAGTGATTTTTAGAATCCTTTTTAAAAAAAAAAAAAATCTTGTCTTCATTTTTGGAAATGCACAAAAATTTGCTTTTCAAAGTTCCAAACTAATCACTGGAATTTCTGTAGGCCTTAAATATAAGGGGAAAGAAGCTAGTGGCCAACATGAATCGTGTGTTTGTTACGTTTATCAGAGAAACATTTTACACTAAACTTCCGGTAATCTGGCACCTTTAGGACCCGGGGGTGCCGGATTATCAAATATGCCGGATTATCGGAAGGGAGGGCTATGAGGGGTCTGGGGTGGGGTGGAGAGGGATGCCACCACGAACCCCTCATAGCCCCCCCTTCCGATAGTCCAGCTCTGCCGCAGGCGTCCTGGATTCAGCCGCTGCTGGTCAGTTTCAGCAGCAGCTGAATCCAGGATGCCTGGGGCAGAGCAGCTGGGGTGCTGCCAAGTTGCTCTGGTAGCGCCGCCCTTTGGCGCTGCGAGACCAACCCAGTAGCACCCCAGCTGCTTTTGGGGACACCTTAGACAGAGCAGCTGGGGTGCTGCCGGGTTGTTCCCGCAGCGCCGAGGGGCAGTCCCCGATTCAGCCACTGCTGAAACAGATCAGTGGCTGATTCCAGGAAGCCTGGGGCAGAGCAGCTCTGCCCTGGGCTTCCTGGAATCAGCTGCTGGTCAGTTTCAGCAGCAGCTGAATCCGAGACCCCTGGGACAGAGCAGCCGGATTGGTCCCGCAGCCCCGAAGGGCAGCACTACGGGACCAACCTGGAAGCACCCCAGCTGTTCTGCCCCCAGCTTCCTCAATTCAGCAGCTAGTCAGTTTCAGCAGCGGCTGAATCGGGGAAGCCGGGCATTGAGCAGCTCCAGTTGTCGAGCAGCCAGAGCACTTCTGGGTTCCTGATGGTGCCGGACCATCAGGAGTCCCGGAGCATTGGATGCCGGACCAATGGAGTTTTACTGTAGTTCTCACTAGGTTACAACAACCATGAAAACCTACTTTATTTACATGTTCTCAGAAACCTAATAAAGAACTACTTTAACATAATCTCCTTCCTCTTCTTAATCCTGCTGTCTTCCCCCCCACCCATATGAGTGCCAACACTGTTCTAAGATTGTATTACAGTAAACTTCAGAAAATCCGGCACCTTTAGGACCCAGGGGGTGCCGGATTATCAGATATGCCAGACTATAGGAAGGGGGGGGCTATGAGGGGTCTGAGGCGGAGTGGGGGGGATGCGCCCCTCGGCACTGCAGGACCAACCTGGCAGCACCCCAGCTGCTCTGCCTCAGCCTTTTCTGCAAAAGCTATCGGAAAAAGCTACACAAATTGTGGAGCGCAATTTACGTAGCTTTTTCCAATAAAACCCTGTAGTCTAGACCTAGCCTGACTGACAGAATGCGGGACTGGTAGATGAGATGGATCACTCAATATTTGCCCTGTTCTGTTCCCTCCGAAGCATCTGGCATTGTTTACAGTTTCAGCAGCAGCGGACTTGGAAAAGCCAGGTGAGGGGCAGCACTGTGGGACCAACCCGGCAGCACCCCAGCTGCTCTGTCCCTGGCTTTCCCAATTCAGCTGCTGCTGAAACTGACCAGCGGCTGACTCCGGGAAGCCAGGGGCAGAGCAGCTCCAATTGTCTGGCTGCCCGGAGCACCTCTGGGTTCCAGATGGTGCCGGATCATCAGGCATGCCGGACCGTTGGATGCTGGACCAATGGAGTTTTACTGTAATATATATAACACCCATGTCATTATCCTGCCAGGTCCAGGAGCTTCATAACAGACTTTCTGAGGAGTCCAAAAGAGCTGATACATTAGCATTTGAATTGAAGCGACTTGAAGAAAAGCATGAAGCTTTAGTCAAAGAAAAAGAAGTAAGTTTTATGCATGAGTATTTACTCAAACTGGCTAAAATGCGACGTGTGTGTGTGTGTGTGTCTCTCCCTGCCCGCCTGCCTGTGCTGGCCTGGTCAGAATTTGTCACTGTTATCATCTTGAAAACCATTTCTCAGGTGCTCTTACGCCTCAGAAATGCTATCATAGGTATGAGACTTAGTACAAGAAATTATATATAGTTGCTTTAATATAGTGGGTTTATAACTTGATAAAGGTCAACATTTGGTATAAATCTTATCAAAAGCCTTCAGAATTTACCTGATGTCCTGAAAATAGTGTTACAAATGATCTTTCATTCCTAATGTAATGTGCCAATGTGAAACACCTTTGTATTATTTCCACCTTAAATATTCTTTGACTTTTTCATAGAGAATCATAGTACAGCGTGATGCTCTAAAAGAAACTAATGAAGAGCTCCGGTGTTCTCAGATGCAACAGGATCATTTGAATCAAACAGGTACTTTTTTGAGGCTGTTTTGTTACTGGGAGACTTACCTGGCATTACCTGGGCCCTTCTGGGCAGGGGGCTGATAGTGTGGGGCAGTGTTCCCTCTAAGACTTTCCATCCATGAGCAGAGTGAATTTTGTCTTGTGTACCAATATTGATGTCATGTGTGCTTGTTTGCATGTGTGCCACTGAAGCACCCACCAGTTACTAACAAAAAATACTAAAAGAAGGGATAATTTAACAAGGTGCATGACCCTGCATCCACCCACCCTGAAAACCAACCAGCTTGGCATCCAGTCTCATTCCCACCCAGCCTTGCTCCCACTGTTCCTACATTCGTAGACTCCCCAACCCCTGCACTCCCATCTTGTGTACTCTTTATAACTATTGTAACACTTGATTTCACTAGACCGATTCTGTCCCCCTGCCTGGGGGCCACACAGCTTAACACAGAAATGAAACACTATCACCCACACCATATCACGCACAAACGAACACAATACACTGCTGACCCACGTTAACACAATCTACCTAGGTTGTGCACTACTATGTAGCTCCATAACACAACCTGGGAACTGAAAGACACACAAGCTCACACACTGCACAGATGACAACACATACTGCCACAAACTTGTACAACACACACAGGGAAACTAATAATGTACACTAAAAATTCTCACACTCGCAACACACTGATGGAAACAATATACACATTAACACAACCCCTTACAACACACATACAGAGGCATATACCTCAAAATACACAAATTTCACATTCTCTCGGCCACACACAAATGCAGGTCTACAATCTGAAACAGACACAAATGCATCGACACTAAATAAGAGGAGCCTTACATAAAAGACCCAGGCTACCTAGCTTTACAGCCACCATACATAAATAATGAAGAAAACAAATACACCAATGACTGTTAATAATCCAGTTACAGTAAAACCCATCACCAATGTTCCTGGTCCTATTTATGAACAAATGAAGGTAAGAGGAGCTGACATTTTTTGAACAGTCTCAGTAACAGCTAATGCTCATTTCTTAACATTCACATACATTTCCAGGGCACACAAGTACTAGTTCAAATACCCTACCTCATCTAGCAGGTGGCAAACTTTTTGGTTTTGGGAGTACAGGAAGAGATTCAAATACGAACCAAGACCGTTAAGAAATCTGTATGCAGCACCTTGACACTTCCAGCCCAACCATTCCTAGAAATGTTAGTTCTAAATGGATCAACCCTCTAGACTACAGCCAATGAGATTACTGAGTGTCTGTTTATGTGTGTGTGATTCAATGCATTTCGATTGTGTAGGCGGTGTGGGGTTTTTATACGCACACGGAGATGGGACAGGGACAGGTTGTTTTTTGCTCCTGGTAAACATGCAGGTGTCATTTATTGCTACCTAATATATGCAAATATGTGTGTGTGAGAAATTAGACATAAAAAGAATAATGTATATTGAGAGGAGTGTGTTTACACCGATTCATACATTAATTAATTCCAGACTATTAGTCTATTGCACCCCTGATTGCTCTCACATCTCTATCTGATGTATTTACCAGTGCTAGCTTCAGCAAGGCCCTGCTGCTAACATGCCGGGGCTATAGTCTTAGAGAGCACAAAGGTGTGGGGGGTGCAGGAGTCAGGGTGCAGGTTTGAGGGACCATGATCTTGCTTTAAGATAAGAGGAATCTGCATGGCAAATGTAGTGGTCCTAGCTATTACTGTTTAAGAAGAATTCTTGAATAAATAGGTTCACAGATAGACAGACAGATGCACATGTCCAAAATACATACATAGATGTTATCTGGAAGTGAATTTTGTCAACTTGTCATGCTTTTTTCAGATGCATCTGCTGTAAAAAGTCATGAGAATCTTGCTGCTGAAATTCTACCAGTGGAATACAGGTAGGGAAGGAACTCACTTTGAGCAATATCCATCTCTTGCAAAAGCTCAGCATCTCAGCTTGCTGGACAATTTACATCTTTTCAACTAAAAAACTATAAAAGTTTGGAGATTTGTTAGCAACACTATGTAGTAGTTTGACATTCTTATAGGGAAGATGCTAAAATGCTTTAGAGATATTAAGTTACCTTATACAGTGTATTGAGACAGTTAAGAAGGTATCTTCATTTTGCAGATTCGCAAAGTGATTAGGAACTTGCCATGGTTTTATGGAAAGTCTGGCAGAACCAAGGATAAATAATCACATGGGACTTGCTAAGTACGGATTTGGCCCTGAATAATGTGGTGGCATATGTCTCGCTAATACAGTAAATGTGTTTTTGTTCTCATAAAGGAATTGAAGGAACAATCTGAAGACTTTTAGAAGTTGTGTTATAGGCAGGGCTGGTAATACCACATATTATTAAGGTTAATGCTTCCCATTCTAAGATCCTGTTTTCAGTTGACCATTCTTTAACTATTTGAAATGAAACTTTATATGCAGGGCTATTGGTTTATTTTAAGTTTTCCAGTTTCTAAGAAAGAAACTGGGGAAAGTACAACACTTTGGGACTCTCAGTGAGCCCCAAGGGGGATACTAGGGCTGGCTGGGCTAAGGGACTGGAAATAGAATCAGAAGCCCAAGTGAATACTGGGATGGGGTAATCAAGGAGAATAGGACTAGGACAAGAAGGCAACGGTGGGGAAGATATGGGAGTGAGACTGATCAGAGAGGATGCAGCAGAAGGGGTCAAGTTTTGTGGAAATTGGCAGAAGTCTGCTCTCTAGAGAACACTCCCTTCTGAGGCCTGGAATGGAACCCAGGATTTCTAAGGCTTACCATGCTTTCACTGCGAGCAAATTGTCAGTGAGTTCATCAGCTAAGTGTCTTAACCCCGTCTCGCACACATAAGGGATGACTGTTTCCATTAGTTATTCTGGCTACGTTTACAATACAGCCTGGAACAATGCTCTGAGATCAGTGCATCTGTGGTCGATTTCCCAGGTCTGGTGAAGACCTGCCATATCTACTGCCGAGTGCTCTCCTGTCAACCCTGTTACTCTACTCTGGCTGAGAAGAGTACCCCCTGCAGTGTAGACCCTGCAGTAACTCGACTTAAGGTACATTGACACCAGCTACATTATTCACATAGCTGGAATTGTGTAGCTTAAGTGGCAGAGGTGTGAGTGTTAGGTCTAGAGAGAGGTCATCAGCAGGATTGCAAATTAATAACAGGATGGAATTTCTGGGTTTTTTTAGTTCACTTTTTTTTTTTAAACAAACTTAGAATGATGTATGGTCCTGTATCAAAAATAGTGTCTGATCATCTAAGTAGACTGCATTATAATGCTTATAGATAAGAGGGCTGAGTTAAGGTTGCACAGGCAATCTTAATTCTAGCATTCCCTAACTTTTGAATACTTGATTGTGCAATATTAATAATGTGCTCGTATTAAGATTAATCATATCAAAATTAATTGATTTTTGATAGTTTTATGTCAATTACCAGGGCTCAACAAACAATGTAATCTACTCACCCGGGATGAGTAGATTACACCCTGGAAGTGCCGGCACAGAGCGATCTGCGCATGCGTAGAACGATCTGCACATGCACAGAGCGCAGAACTACATGGCTGGGGAGTGGGGTTCGGCGAGCCCTGAAATTACCTTCAATTAAAATAAGCATATTTGGCTTGGTGTGTATTCTCTTTGTGGAGAAATCCACTGCATTTTGAGTTCTGCTGAAACTATCTGTACGTATGCTATGGTACTTGTTACTGAAATACATTCAGTACATTGGCATTACTCTTCTTGGTTAATCAAAAACTATTTATATAAGCTCTTTACAGAATAGAGACTATTTGTTTTTGACCCACAGAGAAATGTTTATTCGACTGCAGCATGAAAACAAGATGCTTCTCTTGCAACAAGAGGGTTCAGAAAATGAACGCATTGTAGAACTTCAAGAACAGCTAGAGCAAAAGCATCGGATGGTGAATGAACTGGAAACAGAAAAAAGGTGATTTTTCTTGATATTTTTTTCCTTTTTGTTAATCTTTTTTTAAAAACCTGAGAATAGTTTGGCGTAGGCACCAGTCAGACAAAACAGCAGCTAATCACTCTGCAGAAAATAATCTCAGCACTGCAGGGAGATAACGTAGCTTGCCCTACTGATTGAACATTAGTTGAATAATCACTTATCCTGTCCTTTGGCTAAGGGAAGCATTGAAGTTCCCATTGCAAAGAGGAAGGGATGAGGAAACTACAAAGACCATAAAAAGCGTAAACCTGCAAAGAAGATGTCAGGAGGCCAAATGCAGCTGCTCCATGTTTTGCTGTACTTTGGAAAGGATAGTCTGTAGAACTCATCTCTGGGTGATTCTTAACAGATCTAGATTGGGTCAAGAAAATAACTCTATTTTTACGTTGTTAAAACTGTAGATCTTTGGGCAAGATGGCCAAAGTTCTGATACTGGGTGAATTTATCCACTGGTTAAGAAATGCAGTTAATATTCGGTTATAATTTAGGAGTAATTTAAGTTGCTAAAAATTGTAAGACTTTTACTGAAAACCTAAGAATATATTTATGATGCGCAAACAAACTATATGTAGGCCACTTAAAAATGTTCCAGTCTTTCATTCTTGCTATGTATGCAAAGGTATTTTTAATGGCATTTAAACTTTATTTAAATTGTCTCATCCCAGAAACTAAGTTTTCTTCAAAACAAAGTGCATCAACTCACACAATCATACCAGATTGAATATTAAGTATTCAAATACTTAATATTTCAGTAGCAGATAAATTGTCTACAACAGCAAGAAAAATATACCCACCATTTCCAGGCAGGACGCTTTGTCTGCTCACTTGGCAGACCAGTGCCATCAACAACTGAAATCTGCGTTTTCATTTAAAAAAACACTAACCCATATGCCTTTGGTTAATTTTCATTCTTGTTGTTCAGAACACTGTGGGCACCAATGACATGGTCAAGAAGCATGTCCAATTCACTGCTTTTCTCTGGAAAGCTCCAAACGTAGACCAGCATTGAAAGCAGTAGAGGTTGTGAGGGGCTAGATATTAGACACCCTCTGTAATAATCAGAAGGAGATGAGAGGTAGAGTAGTAGAGACCCTGCCCATTGTTAGAAGCCAAGAAGATTAGCGGTATGGAGCAGAGTGCTCAAGGTAAAAGCAAAGGAGCAAGTAACTTCCCTTGTCCTGTAGCTGGAAGGAGTTAGTATGGGGAAGAAGGACTTGGAATTTATCAGATTCCTGTTAGCCAAAATGTGATACTGAAGATGAAGCCCTGAAATAGAGTCCAAAGGCAGCACCCTAGCCAGAATCCCAGTGCTTTTTCAGGTACCAACTACACAGACAAAGTGTTATCCCACTGGTGAATAACTGTCTAGTGAATGTTCTAAGCACCTACTTGAGCAGTTGTGATTAGGCATGATACATAAAAAAAACAGATATTTATTTCAGACACTACCATGTGTAACCCCATTGAAGAATTGTAACCCAAGTGTATAACTTCACTCTACATATACTGATTATTCAAAGACGGATTGGTGACTGAATTCTTTTACATCCCAACAGGCTAGGCAATGAGCGTATTGGAGAGCTGCAGCAACAGATTGAGGATCTCCAAAAGACTTTGCAGGAGCAAGGATCCAAGACTGAAGGAGTAAGTGAAAGCTAGTGGACCTCTTACTAGTTCTCAAAATGCTTGTGTTTTAGCCTCAAACTTTCTTTAAATATAATACAAATTATGCCCCATTTCCCGTTCAGTCTTGGTGATGCAGATAATTATTATAATGGCAATAAAGCTGTGGCTTGGTGGGTTTTTTTATTAGCCTAAGATTTAGTTAGTCAAAATTATGGCACAACAGTTGTGGCGTGTGGTTATATATTTTGTGTTTGAATGACAGGCTTTCATCATTCTAAAGAATTCCCTATTCCAGAATAATTTCCTCTGGATTATTTTCCCTTTGAGGTTGGAGAGATTTTCTTCCTGTGGAAATGGAAATAGTTCTGTCTTCAAATCCTACTGGTTACAGAATCTGGGAAGATCTATGCTGCCAATAAATCACCATGACAAGTTTATATTGTTTGGCTTTTTAAAGTTAATCACATTAGCCTTGCTATTTTGAAGCTGAAAGCCATGCCAAGTTTTTGAGTCTGCAGTTCTCCCAAAGTTAGTGTTTTCATAAATTGATGGACATTCAAAACTTAAATGGAAATCCTATGAATTGGCTTCCTTTGCTTTCGTGTTTGTTTTGTGTGGAGGAAGAGGTTAGCTTTTTGTTTTGTTCTAACCATTTATGAGGGAAATATTTCAAATATATGAAAATAAATCAATTTTTAAATTCTAAATGTTCTAATAGTCTAAGTAGTAAAGTTAATGAAAAATATTTGGAGTCTGATTTTGTGATCATGTCGTCTTTATTTCCTACTTTCTGACTCCTCTGTCTCTGCCTTTTTACTTTTTTGTCAAATGATTCTATAGTAAGTATACTATAAAATCCAGAATGTCAGAGTTATGCAAAGAATATGCATGAAGTGTTATGAATGCATAAAGACTATTACACTTCCAAATTGTGCAGTAAAATATGCATGTGAAAAGTAAAACTTTTAAAAACAACTATTTGTAGAAATTGGAGCTCTTATTTGTATGTACATCACGATTTATATATTTAATTTTCTGGGCTATAAAGCTAAATTCATTTTTAATTCTTACTTTTGTAGTCCAGCAAGCTGAAGCAGAAGTTGGAAGCACATATGTAAGTAAAACTACCTGATATTTATATACAGTGGGTGGGGGGAAGAAACTGACCTCTAAATTTAAGTTCTGTATAAACAGAGATGGGAAATTGAGTTAAAACTGCCACTCTGCCCTTTGGTCACCTCATCAGGGCTCCCAGGTGTCACGTATTGTGTGTCAGTCACACCTGCAGCTCAGTCTTTTGGTCACCAAGTCCACTGCTGCAGTGTTGAGTAGTCAGCCAAGCGAGTATCTTTTCTGTGCCTCCTCACTGTGCTGGATTTTAGTCACAAAGTAGTTCCAGGATGGGCAGTGGTTCTCAGCCCCACAAGCTCCCTCTAACTTTCTGCTCTCTCCTGTGTTCCTGCAGCCAGCTACACTGAGTTCGCTCTACTTCCTGAACAGCAGCCCCTTGTACCCCAATAGCCTGTAATTCCCTACTTCTTAAACACCCCAGCACTCACCTATAGCAGCCAAAGCTGCCAAATTTTGCATAGTTCCATGTCCTGTCTCCACCATTTCTTGGTGCAGTCTGTGTTGACCACAAGCTCAGTTTATGATTATATGCAAATTAGCTCAATAACAGTTGTAAAGAACATCTGCACAAAACTTGAGCTGTGCTTCATAGTGACGTGGTGTTTTTGCAAGTCACTGTTCTGAGATCCCTTGCAAAACAGTGTGTTAAGCAAACATGGTGAATGTTCATCTTCTCTGTTAAGTGTTGCCTATATTGATCCCCCACTTTTGCAACATGTATATGTAAGTTTCAACTTTCGGAGAGTCTGAGGGTGGACATAGCCTTCAGAACTATTAGTGAGGCTTAGTACTGTGCCCTTAAGCTTGCACTGAAATACCCTGCCTTCCTGTCACCAGAGGCTCTCTAACTATTGTGATTTCATAGTTTCTGTTGGCTTTCAGTATTTGTGCATGTATACAAGGCTGCTGTAGGTCCATTTGTGCCAATGCATTCAAGTCCGAGACCCTTACTAGCAGTACTAGCAGGTAGTGCTTGCACCCTGCCATCTTTTCATGCAGAGGCAAGGGCAAAAAGGCATGGTCATTACCTCTGTTGTAGTTCCTTCTTTCCACTAATGGCAACAGTTAGAGCTCCCCATTGTGCTTGTGCTTTGGTTTGTTTAATGTTACTGGGGGGGAAAAAAGTCTTTGTGTACAAAATTTTTAGAGATTTTTAACATTAGTTAGTGTTAGAGCATAATTGGCTATGAGAGTAGTTTAGGTAGCTCATTCATTGGTGCTGGGTTTCTTTCAGCAGAGATCCCCAGCATTTAAAAGATTTCCATTAAAAGCATTTGCGGAAAAGAGCATCTAGATTGGCATGGAGGCTTTTCTGCAAAGCCAGTTTTTGCGGAAAAGCATCCGTGCCAATCTAGACGCGCTTTTCCACAAAAAAAGCCCCGATTGCCATTTTCGCGATTGGGGCTTTTTTGCGCAAAACAAATCTGAGCTGTCTACACTGGCCTTTTTGCGCAAAAGCTTTGCGCAAAAGGACTTTTTCCCAAACGGGAACAGCATCATATTTCCGCAAGAAGCACTGATTTCAGACAGTAGGAAGTCAGTGTTCTTGTGGAAATTCAAGCGGCCAATATAGACAACTGGCAAGTTTTTCCGCAAAAGCAATTGCTTTTGCAGAAAAACTTGCCAGTCTAGACACAGCTGTTAAGAATAAATGGTCTGTTTATTTCCTCTTTCCTGTGAGAACGAAGAAGCAAAGGGACTTCTGTCTAAAGGCACATTTATTGGAAAAGCATCCTCTTTCAAAGCCTGACCCCAGCCATGAAAAGATGGGAAGATTATTTTTTTTAGTGCCTTTCTGGCTGCTTTCAGTCTCAAAGCTGAAATCAGGAGAAAAGTGATATTCTCCTCCTGTGACTTTCTCAAAGCCTTCAAAACAGTCTTCATCTTCCAAGGCTGACAATCTGTCCAGGTCATCATCGCAAAATGGACAAATCTGCAAAATTTCCTCCAGTGTAGGAATGAAGGTCTGGTCATAAACATCAACCTTGACCAGTAGTCTCTGAGGCAGCAGCATCAACTCTCAAACTCCAGCAGGGTCATTAAGATTGATATAGCTGGCAGAGAAGGTGAAGCTATCTACAGCACTGGCACCATTGGTTCCAGTGCCACTTGCCTTATCTAAGCAGCAATTATCTCCAATATCGGTACTGCGAATGTCCCTGCAGCAAAAAACTTCATGCGCTTCCCTGCTCTGGACTCTCCTTTTCATCACCACGTTGTACTGATTGCTGTAGCTTTAACTACACTGTCATGAATAGCATCATTTATTTTCACTGTACCATCAACACACTGTTGCCAGCACAGCTGCTACCACCTGCTACATCATTCTGCATTCCTTAGCTATACTGGCTCCCAGTGCACTATCCTCTCTGCAGTGTTGGAGCAAATGACCTCCTCCGGTGCTTGTGTCTGTCAGAGAACATTTTGTCTGTCAGAGAACATACCTAATTTTGGAACCAGAAGAGGAAGAGTAATCTAGTGATGAACCCCCACAGGTCTTTGTTTTCACATTCTTCTTTCCCACAACTTTTAGTCATCTTCACCACTGCCTGGAGACTTCAAAGTCTCTCAGGACCGCACAAGGGGTACATCTACACAGCAATGTTATTTCAGAATAACTGGCATTATTTTGAAATAATGCGCATCTACACGACAAGCCTTTATTTCAAAATAATGGCAATTTGGAGGACTTCTTACTCCAACTCCTGTAATCTTCATTTTATGAAGAGTAAGGAGAGTTGAAGGGAAAGTGTTCTTCCTTTGACTTCCTGCTGTGTAGACAGCAGCAAAAGTCAAGTTAAGCAATTTTGACTTCAGCTATGCAATTTACATAACTGAAGTTGTGTAGCTTAATTCAGCTTGAGCTCTGCTTAGGTGTAGACATACCCGAGATGTAAAGTTAGGAGTGTAGCCAAAGTTGTGCATGGCAGCCTGCACAAACTTTTAGGTATTTTTTACAAGCTCCTACCCTAGCAAGGGTTTTCCTTCCCATTAATGAAGCCATTTCAGATCCTGCTAAAACCTTTTGGCAGACCCCAGCTTTCTGTTCCACCTACTGCCAAACACATGGACAGGTGTTGTCAAGTTCCCTAGCAAGAATATGATTTTTTTTCCCCCCACCTACTTTGTCCCAGGCTTCTTGCTAATCACGATAGTGATCACAGAAGTCCTACCCCAAAGAACAAAAAATGAGACTTTTATATACAACCACAAACTTTCAAATAAGGATGCCATATTATCAAGCGTTGTCCAGATACATATGTTAATTGGTTAGTATTGGCAAAATTTGCAAGTTGCCTGAAGAATATAAGGACCAGTTTCTGGCAATAGTCTCAGAAGGGCCTATCTCCAAGTGTCCATCAGTGCATCAGATACCACTTTGCACTCAATGGCTGCAGTCAGTTCAGTGAGGCAGTCTTGGTTACAGGTTTTGGGCATCCCTAGAGAGCTGTATGACACAATCAAAGATCTTCCATTTGAAGATTCTAAAATGTTTCCTTGAATGACTGAAAATACCATGTTCTCCCCCCTCCCCCGTCCTTCCCTCCCCCTTC